ATATATATATATATATATATATATATATGTATATATATATATATATATATATATATGTATATATGTGCATCTACACTCAATTTACACTTTCTATGGAAACAGCCCTGCAGCGGCCTTTCCTTGTTACTGATGATATACTCAGCAGAATTGTTTCGGGCAAAAAGATTTCGTCTCCCTCTACTTTTGCTTTGAGTGTTTATACACCGCAAGTGTATCTCAGCTGTACTGGTAACTGCAGCAGAGGATTCCTCAGCCAACAAAGTTTTGCCAGTTTATTTACAGTGTCTATTTGCTTTTGTCTATTGATGCAAATCAATAGAAAGGCCTCCGAAGCCGCTCAGCGCCCCCATAGAAAGGAGCAGAAGGTAAGAACGACGGCTAAGCAGAGATGACTACACAAAAAGAGCAGCAAACGAGAGAAACAATAGCAAAGGGTAAAACAATGAAAATAAAAACAAGAGGCCTTAGAGCAAATACTAGAAAAATAATAAAAACGCGAGAAATAAAAACACCTAAAACAACAGAAATAACATCAAAAACAGCTAAACTAACTCTGTTGCCACCACACATTCATACTGTACATACACTTAGAAGCTGCAGAAGATGAGTAGGAATAAAGAAGAGATAACACAACAGGAATACAGACAAAACACCAACCACGAAGAAATGCCTTTCTGTATGCTCCCTTCCTACCCCTCTGCAGATAAAGCAAAAAACAATAAATAATGACGATGAAGAATCGCTGTACACAAAGAAAGCCGCGAATACCGGTAGCTTCTCCGTACCCATCTGAAGCTGTTGTCTCTAAACAACCCCAAGTGCTCGCAACGGAGTGTATGAAAACTCAATAGTGAAGTGTGCGTACACCGCGCAGTGAAGTGTATGCACACCCACGAAAACAGATTCAAAGACGCATCTATGCAGCCATCTATTTAATAACCCAACTCCGCCCAGGGCGGCCTAACGTTGACAGCAGCAGCCCATAGCGACGAGCAGACAAAAACGAAGATGCCGCCTCTTGCGGAGGCGAACTGCGGTTTTCTTTTAAGCTCCAGCTCCAATCCACAGGCTGCTGCTGCTGCTGCTGGCAACGTGCAGCACCAGCAAAAGCAGAAGATGCATCCCTGGTAAGGAAGGGAAACTCGAAAGCAGCAGCAGGTCGAGAAGCCGAAGCCGTGGACGTCGCAGGTGTCTGTACAGCTGAAGCTTCTGCAGACGCATCATGAAATTCATACGTTTCACTACTTTCATTTCTTCTGCTCTTTTCTTTTATTTCTCTTTGCAGGTCTGGCCACAGATGCGTTGGAATCGGAGGCCTCCCTGAGGGGCTGCTGCGGAGGCAAGGACACTCTACATCGGCGCCTTCCGCTGCAGCAGCAGCAGCAGCAGCAGCATCTCCCAGTTCTTGGGCGTGCTGCTGCTGCCGCTGCTGCACGCCGAGAAGAGGCAAAACTGGCGGAGGCAGCACTCCAGAGGCGTGAGCAGCAGCAACTTCATTCGGCTTGGCAGCTGTAGATTGCTGCGCTGCTTCAGGCTTCAATTTATCCCTCATAAACGCCTCTAATGGGTAGTGCACGGAATCAGCGACTGCGGCACTCCCTGCCTGAGGTTCGCTGCTGTTGCTGCTGCTGCTGTTGCTGCTTTTGTCGCTGTCGCTGCTGCTGGCACTATCGCTGCTGTTCTTTGTAGCCGTTGCACCAGTGCATCCGACGCGTAGTTTTTGTTCGATGTGCATGCGGAGCTGTCTGTATTTTTCCTGAGCTTGTTTGGACGCATGAGCAGCAGCTTCTTCTATTGAAGAGAAACAACAGCTGCAAGAGTCAGCCCAAGGGTGCTCCGCTATGCGCCGCCCCAACCTCTCAACCACACTAACACCCATCCGGGATTTCTCTGCTGCTTGCGCTACTGCAGCCTGCGCAGCACAGAACGGCAGCAGCAGATTGGGGGAATGCGTGTGAGGCAAGCAGCAGCAAACAACACAGGTTTCTTAGTACATAATCTATTTAAAGCAACAGTAAATATAAATTGTTTAAAGTGGAGGAAAAGCAGCAACGCCAAAGACGCAGCATTTATTCCTTTAAACTTCACATCCTCAGTAAACTTAATTTTTTTCATTCAACTTTAATTTACAAAAAGAACAGCAAGACGTCCCCCCCTCAAGCAATGCATGAAACACGCAGCAGCAGCAGGACTGCGGGCAAGAATGGAGCAACCAACAGCACTTTATGATGAAAATCTCTACACCTGCCGTTTGCCTGTGATTACAACTTAACAAGTGTAAACGTTTCATTGAAGACAACATATGACGGATTAATGCCTTTGCATTTCACGCGCGTGGGTTGGCTTACGTTCTCCACTGCCCTATTAACAGGCAAGCCGAGACCTGAGACTTTATAGGTAGCAGTTTGCGTGTAAAGTGTATGCTGAGGGTTTTCTGGGTGCGGAGTGTATTCACATGTTTCCTCTACTCGAAAGAAGGACGCAAATGTGTAGTTGCAAGACCTGCAGACAAACCCAACAGGAAAGTCGGCTTGCAGAATAAATATCTGAAGCTGACGATGAATGGAGCTGCTTCCAGGAGGGCTTTGGTGTTTATGAATTGCAGGAAAATAAAGAAAATAAAGATGTTCCGCTCTTATAAACGTACTTGAGAGTCAACTTGCGTTCTTTTAAAGAACAAGTCGCCTCCTCGAAGGCAAAGCCAACGGGAGTAGCGCCAAAGAACTTCTGAAACCATCTGAAAAACAAGCAGAAACAACGAAAAACCCTAGACCCTAAACCCTTAAACGGACGCATCGTTTAATTCAGTTACACTGTGTTCAAGAGGCTGGAAAAGAAGGAAGAAACGCAAATATTATTTACTTACTTCGGGCACTGATATTTCAAAGAAAGAAGCCGCCGACAAGAAAACTGCTGACGATCTGAGTCCACATCGAGGTCGAGGGTATCAACACGCAAAACGTGCGGCTGAAGTTCGTTTGGATACTTCAGCCAGAACGCCGACTGTAAAAAGAAGAAAAACAAACAAAAGCAAAAGCCCAATAGATGCAGATAATGAAATTATAGAGAAAATGATGCGAAATACTGAACCAAACGAAAACCAAGATGGAAACCTGCACTGAAACACCATCCAACACTTGAATGAAACTTGAATAGAAACCTGAACTGAATGTTGAACAGAAACTTGAAATGAGACTTGAACCGAAACTTTAACTGAAACTTTAACTGAAACTTTAACTGAAACTTCAAATGAAACTTGAATTAAAACTTAAAATGAAAGTTGAATTCAACTTTAAATGCATGAAGAAACCATGAATTTCTACATTAATGAAACTCGAAATTAAACGTCAAATGCAACACCAAAGTTGAGCTCAAACTCGAATAAAAAGGAATAAAATACATGCAACACGAAAGAAACATAAATAAAAGAAATTTGCAAACATGAAATAAGTAAACTTGAACAAAACAACAAAAAAACTGAATTCGAAGTTAAAAGGAATGAAAAAGTGAAAAAAACGAAGAAAACGACGAAAAAGAAGAAAGACGTGAATTGAAAACAAAGCATTAAAAAACCGCATTTTGCCGACTTTACTGGTGAATATTACTGACTAATTATGAAATAAATAAATGGAATAAATAAACAAAATACCATTTTAGTTATGTTGTTACAATTATTATTATTTAATAATAAATAGGACATTTCATTTATTCATTTCAACAAACCATTTCTTTTGGTTACTTCATTCATAAATATCGCATATTTACTCCATATAATAAATTCAATTAATAAGCGCATTTAATAACTTAACCAAAAACCACTAAAAAGTTCCACATAATAATATTTAAAAACGAATCTCATTTTGTTTGTTTATCCGATAATAATGCAATAAATTCAAATCTAACATATATAAAAGACAAACGCAGTTAAAACAGACAAAAACCGAACTCCCCCGAAACAAATCACGAAAATTTTGCAGATATGTCTATGGAGTTTAAGAAGAGCAAATTAAAAACCAAGTATATCAATAGGCTCAGCAGAGTAAGCCAAGGAATTGATAAAGAATTCGAATAGACAGACCAAATGAAATGAACAAATAAGAATAAATAAACTAATTGAATTCAATAAACAAATTTATTGCAATAAACTTACCGTTATTGTGTCCCAGTCATTATGAAACACGTGTTCCTTCTTGAATAGCCGCATCAAGCTTCTTTTGCGTGGCTTTCCTGCCTCCCCCTATTCATAATTGGTCTCAAATGGACCGCAAAAGAAAAATAATATCAAATAAATCAAAAAGAAACAAAAAAATAAATCAAAATCGACAATATTTCACCCTTTAACTCCAGTTTCCTGCTCCCCCCCGCTCAAGGCCCCCCAACAAACACCGCAAAACCCAGACGGTCTTCTCAGCGTATATCCGGGGAAAATAGGATATAATTTCATCGAAATACCCCAAATTCTTTTATGTTTCTCAAAATGCACATGATACAATCAATAAAGAAGAACAAACAATCGTTCAAGCTACCCCGAAGCAAACAATGCTGCTGGGGCGAGCCCGCTGCGCGCCGAAAAGAGGAGAGGAAAGCCGAGGAGAAAAAGGCTTCTAAATCCAAATATATTCAAGAAAATATATTATATATTATACGAATTCAATAAAAAACATATTCTTGTTCGCATTCAACCTACAAACACGCAGCCGTCAATGCAAATAAGGTGCCGGGGCCCCCCTCGCGCGGTGAAGACAGCCAGCGGCCGCTGCAATTATTTTAATCTTTTTGCACTTCTTCTTATTGTTTTTTTAAATTATTTATTTCTTTTTATGGAATAATCCGTTGAAGTGACTTAACACAAGTTAAGTTATTCACAATAAATGCCTACTCCGCTATCAGCACGTTTCCAGCCCAAGGCAATTCAATTCAACCTCTTCTGGGGCTTTGTATTGTTTCTTCAGCTGGCAATAAATGCTTAACGAACATCTTTATAATATATTTCTGAATGCATTCACGACATATTCACCTGTATACAATACTATTCAGTCCACAGCAAACCATTCCTTTCCTTCTCTACCATATACTTTTATACGTATTCATCATTAAGAAGTATAGTTGCAATCCACTAATCCTATGTATTATACACTCGCCTGCCGATGCATTCTTTAGAGCTTCTGGTGTAACTAAACATAACAGAACAAACAGCAGTGGTATCTATATAAGTATATAATTATATATATATATACATATATATATAACTAAACTGCAACTTTCCGCTGTAAATATGTTTCTGCCTTTGCATTGATTACAAAATCAATAGTTGTGTTCAGTTTGCAGCAATGTTTATTTTGATGAATCTCCTTCATCCCCGAACGACAACAAAAGAACATTCAGGGGGTGCTGCTGTCTCTGCCTTTGAAGAAGAAGACATCTGCTGCTTCTGCTTAACTTAAAAACTTGTATGAAAATGTTCTACAGAGAGCCATTTGCAATGCAAAGAACAGCTCAACCTGCTGTATGTACACCTCATGTAGACAGTTCAGACTGCAGGATGTCGCATATACAGCAGAAGATGCAGATGCAGCGTCCCCTTCTGAATTTCTTTAGCAATATTATGCTTGTTCCAAGCAATGCATGCATGCATGCATTTTGTAGCAGCAAAAAGACATTTTATAAACGTCAATCGCCCTCGGGCATCCAGCACTTACACATAATTCAGTTGTAAAACCCTTTAACAATACATTTATGTGCAAGAGCACTCACTACCCATAGACGGCACCAGCAACAAACATACAAGACGCAGGAACTGAAGACGAAGAAGAACGAAAAAAGAATAAAAGAAACCTCTAGAGGGGAATCAAACGACAGGAGAAGGCGCAAAGAAGTACAGAGAAAGAGAGAGAGAAACGACTAAAACGCAGAGTACAGAAAAACCCATGGATAAAAACAATTAATAAACAGTAGAAGACTTCAACATAATAAAGAGATAGCAATAGCGAGCGACGCAAATGAGCAGAGACAACAAGACGAAGAAAAGAAAAAAACAAAATCAAACAGAAGAGACACACACAGACAGAGAAAGAAAGAAACCGAGAAAAGAATAGCAGAGGGCAGGGGAGCTTGAAAAGCGCAGCAAAGTCAGGTGATAAAAGATAAATGAATATGAAGAAAAGAAAGAAAAAGAAAAAGAAAAGTAAGAAAAAGAGAGGGAAAAAAGAAAAAGAAGAAAGCAGACAACTCGTGCAACTCCTCTGCCTCGATTAAAGAGGAGAGGCCCACGGAAAGAACAAGAGAAGAAAAGAAAAAAAGAAAAAAGAAGATACAGAGCTCATGTTAGTTCTCAGTGAATATTAATAATCGCCTCCTTTTATATTCTCCCCCAGTTAAAACGAAGAAGAAAAGAAGAGGAAAAGAAGCAGAGACCATCAGTAGGAAGAGCAGAGAGCAGAGTATAAGTAATCCCTTACAAAAAAGAAAATAAATAATAATTATTATACTATTACAAGAAGAAAAAGAAGAAAAAGAAATCAAAGATATTACCAACGCCCAACCATAGGAAGCCGCACATTAGAGAAAGACTCAGAATCTGTTGTTTGTACAAACAGAGGCAGACGGCGAGACCCCTCCCCTGCAGCAACAAGCAAGAGAAAGAAACAAAACAAATAAAATCATTAAAATAATTAATCAACATGAAATGCACAGACAAACACAAGAGCAGAATTTACTCACGAATGCACATACACACAAAAACAAACAAAAAAACAAACCGAAGGATAGACAAAGGCACAGCCACTTGCAAATATATAATAAAAATGCATAACAATATATCAATATAAAATAAACGAACAAACAAACAAACCAACAAGCAGAGAGGAGAAGCTAAAACAAGCAAATAAGCACAAATACGCAAACAAACAAACAGCGAGACGAAGAAACGAGTCAAACAAAGACGAGCGCACGCAAACAAAAGCAAGCAAAACCACACGAATACACATACAGATAAACAAACAAACCAATAAACAAACAAAGAAAGAAGAAGAAGGAGAAGAACAACAATAACAAGGATACGAAAGAAAAAAGAAGAACGAGAGCGAGAAGAACCACAAGAAAACCAACAAGAAAAAGAAGGGGGGGAAAAAGCAGAACAAGATCAATAAGAAGAAGAACAAGAAGACGAAGATAAAGAAGACAAAGAGAAAGGATAATAACAATAATATAATAATAATAATAATATAATAATAATAATAATAATAATGAAAGCTAACCTTCGCCTCGATAGGTCTCCAGCTGCACAGTCTGCGGCAGTTGCACTGCGTAAGCCAACCAACCCGTGCCTCCGTCTACAGGTGCGAATGGAGCGGCTCCTACAAACAAAAATCGAACATAAAGAGAAAAGAAATACTAATAAACAGATAATTCATCAAACATACCTTTTGCACATACACGCAGAGGTGTAAAAAGAAAAAAAAAGAAGACAGCAAAAACACCGCATCAACATTGCTGTTCCTCTCCTTTTGTCTGTTTGTTCTTGTTTCTTTACTTGTTCCTTTAATCTCCTCATTCGTTTGCTTATAACTCTAGAAAGGGTTTAGGGTTTAGGGTTTAGGGTTTGCGGGTTTCTTCTGTGTTTACATTCCCCATATCTGGTGTACTTTAGCCTGTCTGCTGTGTACATTGTGAGTAGTATACATATATATATAATTGTATATTACTAGATAAACGAATTGCTGTTTGTCTTTAAAGCTATTATTGCTGCTGATGCTCTTATTTGCGGTGTACGTACACCCCAAGAGACGAACCTGCAAGCACCACGGCTTCATACCCTCTCTCCATCCAGACTTTAAAGCTCCAGCATGCGTACATTAAATATAAATCAAACAGAAGAGCAACAGAAGCGGAGACCAACATAATTACAACTGCAAAATCGGTCTCCCTTACTGCTGCCGCCTGTGCTGCCTCAACCGCAAGCTGCTGCTGATGCTGCTTCGCTGTCTCTATAGACTCCTCATCTGCTGCTGGTGGGGGTGCTGCTGCTTCTGGTGTTGCTGCTGGTGTTGCTGCTGGTGCTGATGCTGGTGCTGCTGCTGTGGCTGCTTCCGAGGGCGTGGACCCTTCCGCCGCTGCTGCTGTTGCTGCTGCTGTCTCTTGCTGCGCTGCTGCTACTGCAGCGGATTCCTGCTGCTGCGTTGCTGCAGCGTTGCTGCTGGCATCTTCTCTGCCTTCTGCTGCCCCAGCAGTCGCTGCCGACGGCCCTTCAGCCCCCTCTTCTGCAGCAGGAGCTGCTGGTGCTGCTACAGGTAAGTCTGCTGCTGTTGCAGGAACGGCAGCAGCAGACGCTGTTGCTGCTGAAGGAACAGCAGCAACCGGAGCTGCAGCAGCAGAAGAATCTGTTTCAGCAGGAGGAGCAGTTGCAGCGGGGGAAACCGCTGCAGTGGGGGAAGCCGCATCAGCAGCAGGCTGCTGCTGCTGCTGCCGCTGATCCTGCTGCCGTGTTGCATCTACGGGTTGGTTTGAATGCTGCGTGGTTTGTTCATCTTGCGTTTCCCCGTCATTCTTCTTCGCTTCAGGTGTCTCCGCAGACACCTGGAGCAGCTGCTCCGTCTTATTCGTCTCACCCTGCTCCTGGGCTGTATTATCAGGTGCAGCAGCAGCAGCAGAATCTGCTGTTGCTTGCACTTTTGCAGCACTCTGCGGTGTACGCACACCTCCTTCTGAAGGAGATGCAGACGGAGGAGGTATATTAGCTGTCTTATACTCCGGCAGCGGCAGTGTAGGGAAGAGAGAAAGGCTTGAAAGACGAACAGGCAGCAGGTTGCTGCTGCTGCCGCCGCTGCTGTGCTGCTGCAGCACACAGGTGCGCACGCTGTCCTGCACATGCGCGTTGAGCTGAGGTTTTAATATTAAACTCAGCACCATCAAGACCGTAAGAAAAGTAAATGTCTGCAGCCGCCACCCCAACAAAAACAAAAAAACCTTTGATCTCCTCAAGTCGAAGTTCGCTGCAGAACGCCAGGAGAATATCGCTGAAAAAACACAAAAGAACAATACATGCATATACATATACATATATATGTAGATACAGATAAATATAATATATATATACATATATATATTGTATAAATGTATATATTTATGTGAGGGAGAACAAAATAAGGAAAAGAAGAAACAGCGGGGAAGAGCTTCTTACCCAATAAGGAGACGAATGCCCCTAAAAGAAGAGTGCAGTTACCGTTCCAGAGTCGTGCTACGGGAAGACAAATCTTTTGCATCCAGTTAACGGCGAAGACAAAACCGAAGAAAGACAAAAGAGTAGATATAGCAACAAAATAGGCTATGAAATCCATCCCTCTGCTCAGCGTCAGTCTCCCCACTCCAAAGGTAATAGTAGGCTTTAATAAACCAAAGAACTTAGGAAGCCCTTCAGGATAAAGTACAGAAGAAGCTGCTGCTGCTGCTGTAGAGCCCGGAGCCCTCACCCCACCACTCCCTGAAGCAGAACCCTGCTGGCTGTCTGCTGCTGCAGCAAAGGCCGTCAGAGCCCCGGAAGAAGTACTCTCAGAACAGCCGGGGGCGCCCTGAGAGTCGCTATACTCTTCAAAGGGATTGCTGCTGCTGCTGCGATTGCCTGCTCCTGGCTGCAGCGGCTCCAGCACTGACGCCGGCATTTCGGAGGAGTTTGAGGGCGGTTCATCAGAATGAGAAGAACCCGTAGAAAATATCGGGGGCTTCATCTTGCATAAGAAACACCGCGTCAGAGGCTGCTGCTGAGGTGTACGTACACCGCAGGACCCCAGATGAAGGAAATTGATGCTTCTTTGGGGGTAAAGAAGAGGAATTCCGGCGATTTGTATCAATAGGAATGCAACAAATCAACTAATAAACACGGAAATGAAGAAGAAATACTCGGAGAGCACGAAATTTACCTCTTAACTTCCCTTGCTCTCGCCAGCTTCCTGTCGGCAGCTGCAGCTGCAGGAACCTGCATGCAACGGTGGAAAGGCAGTGCTTTCTTGGTTCAGAAGAAGTAAATAAGTGGAAGAATAGATTTAATGGAACTTAAATATCCTCTTGAAACTTCAACATCCACACAAGATCTCAGACGGAGAAGCGACGCGCGCCTCCTCGTGTGTACTGAACGATTCGGCGTGAATGGAAGGCGGATCTGGTAGAAAGCTGAGATAATTGCATATTCTTCTTCATCAGTAGGCAATTGCATTTGAATTAGCTTTCGTTTAACCCCATTATCGCCTCAGAATAACCAACATTCCAACTCTAAACCTCAGATGTCTCGGCTCCGCGGTGGAGGTATGCAGGACACTTCACTCGGCTTGCTGAGGTGTACGTACACCCCAATTTGTGTATGTTTTGTATTCATAGAGAGGAGTCAACAATAAGCCAGCTAAGCTGCTAATTTAATTGTGGCTTTAATGGGAAAACAGACAGAGGAGGAGAACGAGATATCGGAAGTTTTGCAAAGAGGAACGTACCGATTGCTTCTTTCGGGTGTATGTAGAGGTGTTGTGTGTTTAGTTATAGGTTTTCTTTCGGTCTTTCTGTTGCTTTGCTGCTTTGTTCTGGTGTGTGTCTGTTTGGTAGGGCGGTTCTTTCAGTTACCACTTACATGTGCCCTCTGTGCAATATTACCTGGATTTGTTTATTACTCTCTTATGTAGTCCGGCACATGAAAGAAACGAATGAATTTATGCCTTCTTTCCGCTTTTTAGAAGCCGGGGGGGAGTTAATAAGGCCTAAATGGCGCTGTTACTTGAGTCTGATAAGATAGAGAGAATCGTAAGATACGCGTCTTCTTCTTCTTTTTATTCATGTCTGTTTCGGGCGTTGTTTTGTTCGATTATTTATTTGTTTATATGTTTGTTTGTGTGTTGTCTCCCTGCTTGTTTGTTTGTTCGTTTCATTGGGTAGCTTGGTCTCTGCATATGTTCATTTGTCTTTTTTGTTTGTATGTTTGTTTGTTTGCATGTTTGCTCTGCTTGATGTTTTATCTGTTGAGCCCGCATTCCCCCGTTCATTTGTATCTCCAGTGGGAGTACTAATAGCAGCCATTTAATTCGATAAAAAATGTTAACTAATAAAAATATAATAAGAAAACAAACGCAGCAAAGGTAGGAACGCATGCAATTCAGTAGGGGAAATGCCTTTGATATCTTTATTTGTTTTCTTTTGTTGCTGTACTTTCCAGCATTTTACTTTGTTTTGTTGATTACTTATCATTATCCCCCTTATTAAATATTAATTATTGATGATTATAAATAAAAATTTCGAGCTTTGTTTCTCCGGCCTCTTTCTTCACTCTTCTCAAATAAACTACCAATGCGATTACTATAATACAGCGCATGCAACAGTAGACACAGAAATAAGTGAGAGAGGGGAGAGGAAGCAGATATATATATGCAAGCAGCACACCGGAGTAGTAATACTCGTTCGCACACAAGCTAGTCTTCGGTGTACAGGCAGCTCGAGGGTCTTTGCTTTTAATATTCAAAATTTCTGTAATTCAAATAGGGGGATTAATTAAAATAATCAAAGGCCAGCGAAATGCAGCATCACCGGGGGGCGGGAGTGAGAGTAATTAGGTGAAAAGTATCACGAAATAATAAATTATTGGGTTTCTGCGTATTAATACTTCAAATATTTTATTATAATGATTAATTAATTACTTCCTTATTGCTGCATTATTAATGCTTCTAATCATTTAAGACGGTAATGGTGAAGAAGCGCAGCTCTTCTGTGTGCAGTTCTTTAGCTACTGGGGGGTATATTGATTTTAAGGTTTTCCTTAGTTTTATAGGGAGAGAAGGAGTCAAAGTAAACACATCTTCTTACATTTATAATTCATATAATCTTCTATTCAGTAAATTTTAAAGTATAGTTTTTCTTTTTCTTATTTGCTTTCTCCCAAGTCGTTCAATGATAATACATCAGGCAGACCGGCGGCCAAAGCGGTGGTGAAAGAGTAGATAAAGGGCAAGATTAGTATATTTATTGGGAAGTTTGCAGTTATTCATGGGTGATACTAGAACAAACAGTTGAATTTAAAGGCATATAATCAACAGAAAAACAAAAAAAGGGATTCTAATTGCAGAATTCAGGAGAAGCCGCATGTAGCTCTGCTGGAAGCTGTCTGTACACTCGGAGGAAAGGGCGTGCAGTAGGTGAAAAGCGTCTTCTCTTCTTTGGTTTATTTTAGTTTAAAGGGAAATAATAAGAGTATTTTAATACAAAGTTATTGAAAACCCTTTAATACTTCTTCAATTTTTCGAAAACCAACAGGAAGGCAGCTAGCTCTCGTGCTGTTCCGGGCACAGGAGCTGAGCGCCTTCTTCTCTTTTTCTTCTTCATTTTATGGGTTTCTTTTTGTTCATTTGATGTTTATTTTGTCAATTTGGCGTCAAGTTTTGCGACAGATCGCCTGCTTTGTGCTCGCAGCATTCATAAGAGCCCCCTTCTCCCTCCCCCAGCTTCAGCACGGAAGCTGCTTTCTCACTTAAAGGCTTCTTACTGCTTCTTCTTGTTCTTCTTCTTAACAAAACCAAAGGAAACAGCGTGGAGGGCGGAGGCCCATCACTCATTCTTCTGCGGCGGTGACTCCCCTTCTCGTACTTGCTGCACCAGCAGCAGCCGCAGCAGCAGCAGCAGCAGCGGCAGCAGCAGCAGTACACAGGCAGAAACAACGACAGGAAGAAGCTTTGCTGCTTCAGGGGTGCCCAGGGTGGTGTCGCATGCAGTTTATGCGGGTGTAGCGCGGTGTACAGACACCTGCGTCTTCGCGGATGATCTGTGTTTTTTCGTCTTGATGTCTGTACATTGGGCCTTCGCTTACTTTCTTTTTCTTTCTTAACTTCTACTGACGAACAGTATTAAAAGCAGCAGCTTACTGAGCACCATGAGGCTGCATGAAGTCTCCTTCTTCTTTCTCGTGTGGGGGGTATTGGGGGCGTGTGCTGTCCAGACAGGCAGCAGCAACAGCAACAGCATCAGCAGCAACAGCAGCACGGAAGCACCCCTAGGAGATGCTGCTTCTGCTGCTGCTCCTTCAGTCGTTATAAGAGCTACCACTGCACACGCAGATGTTCAAATCGGCCAGAAGGTTTTGTCTTCAGTCACATCGCAGCAAAACATCCGCCCTTACACTGCAGCAGCAGAAGCACCAGCAGAAGCAGCAGCAGCAGCAGTACAAACTGCAGCAGCAACAGCAGCACCAGCAGCAGCAGCACCAGCAGCAGCGACAGCAGCAGTACCACAACCACCAACATCACGAGCAGCAGCAGCAGCAGCACGAGCAGCAGGAGCAGCAACACTTCCTCTTTGTAGAAATTGTTTTGGGAAGGAGGGAAGGGCCTGCCGCGTCTGTTTGCATGGCGGGCATGAATCGAGTGTACGTACACTAGAATATATTATTATAAACAAATAGAGATATAAGATAAATATAATATATATATATATATATGTATAAATCCTCACAGAAACAAACAAATGAACAATATATATATATATATATATGCATATATTCGTAAACAAACAAATGTAGAAAGTGTTTGTCGAGCAAAGGATAAACAACCGAAGACTTGTGTTTCTTTGCCTCTCTTGTTTGTTTGTTCGTTCGTTCGTTCGTTTGTTTTTTTGTTTGTTTATCTTGTTTAATTAACCATTTAATTAATTATTGTATGTATTTTTGTCTGTTTGTTTTTTATTTTTATTATATATTCTTATTTATTTTATTTATTTTATTTATTTGTTTACAGTTTACAATGCCGATGACGCGCGCTGTGTCTTTGATTGACGGTGAAGACTCAGCTTTTGCTGCACTCGAGAAGAACCACAGCGCCTTTCTGAATACTAGGACAACATTTTTTATGAAGAGAGGAGAAGGGCCTTTTGGGGCCCTTGGGAATAAACTAGGTCAAACATCTGCTGCTGCAGCAGCAGCAGCAGATGCAGCAGCAGCAGATGCACCAGCAGCACCTCTTAGCTTCCTTCAACACCCAGCACAACCTGCTGCTACCCTTGAGTTGGGGTTAGCGCAGACTTCTGTGCCTATCTTACAACTTAAAGACGTAAGAAGAAGAAAAAGAAAAAGAAATCAATAAAATATAATTATTCAATATTACAAACAACAGCAACACAAACACTAGCATACGATATTTGCTCTGTATCTCTTTGTCTCGTCTCCTCTGCATTTTCTTTAAAATGTTTGTTAATAATACAAACTACTTCCTTTTAATGCCCAACTGCTGTGTGAAGCATGAACATGATGTTCCTGCTGCTGGTGCTGGTGCTGCTGCTCGTGCTGCTGCTGCTGCTGATGCTGCTGATGCTGCTGTTGCTGCTTGTGGTGGTGCTGCTGCTGGTGCTGCTGTTGCTGCTTGTGTTGTGGTGGTGCTGCTGCTGATGCTGCTGTTGCTGCTGCTAGTGGTCTCGCTGCTGCTGTTGCAGCAGCAGCATGCAGTTTGTTTAATCTGTATATTGTTTATAAAGCCAATTGAATCGACTCGTGCATTATTTTATTTTTTATATCCCTTTGTCCACTTACTATTATTCATCTGTTTTATTTTTTATCTATTTATTCTGTTTATTTATTTATTGTGTCTACTTATTTATCTATCTTATCTACTTATTTATTTATTTATTTAATCTATTTATTTATTTATTTATTTATTTATTTATTTATTTATTTATTTATTT